TGTGGGAATGACTATAATGCGCAATACAAGCACTATTTAACCGGAGCGAATGAGACGTGTGTGTGTGAGAGAGAAGAGGTCGTCGTAGAGAAGAGAGCGAGAATGCGCGGCTGACGTTATTGCCTGTGCCGCTGGTAACAAAACGGATCGGCTCGAAATCGGAAAGAAGTGAGACTGACCGACCGATCACCGATCCGGGCCGATCATGAGGAAAATCGGCCGATTCCAATCCCTGGCCGATCGATCGGTGCATCTCTAAAAAACTTCATTAATTTTAACCTTCAATATTATAGTAATGTAGTACCAACTGACTCTCGTGTATATTTTACAGCATTAGTTGAGAGATTTTGTTTTTCCTTGAGAAAATTTGGCATGTACTGTACCTGATATATATCCAAAATAATCGAATCGAATCGGTAATCGAATCGCAAGCTTGTGAATGAGATTCGAATCGAATCGTGAAATTTGTGTCAAAACCCAGCCCTACTTAATAGCAAACACTGAATTAAAAAAATATCAAATTAAATAATTCAATTTAAATCAACAGAAGTTGTGTATCATGCAGCTTGACCAGTTACCAGTTGGAGTGTTTGGAAATTTTCACAATCAACTAGTGTGTTAAAGGTATAGTTCACCCAAAAATAAGATCATTTGAAGACCACTGACAAAAAACCCTGAAATATTTCTCCAAATATCTTCTTTTGTGTTCCACATGCAGAAGAAAGTAAGTCATACACGTTTGGACCGACATGAGGGTGAGGAATTTCCATTCTGGCTAAACTATCCATTTAAAGGACTTTCTTATGGTTAAAAACAGCTGGACAGAGTGCAAAACAGACAGCAGGGGTCTCGAAGCACATTATTAAAAGCTAACAGTGAACTAGTCAAATACTGTTGATGAGAAGTTGACTATCTTGACCAATTCCTACTTACCACTGCATCCTTCACCACAACTTTTGCTACTTGCTCAGGCTGACAGACTCCAGACGTTTCTGAAATTAACCTGGTCTCCAGAGGCTGCCAAAGAGAGAGTCAAAACCAGAATAAAACACACAGGCAGGACAAAACATTTTGGTCACCAATTTTCACTATTAGCTATTAACTATGACTTTTGTCTTAATAAACTACAAATTTTATGCTTATTAATAGTTAGTAAGGTAGTTGTTAAGTTTAGGTATGATGTAGGATTAAGGGATCTAAAATATGCTCATGAAGAATAAGACATTAATATGTGCTTCATAATACAAATAAACAGCCAATATGCTATTAATATGCATGCTAATAAGCTAAAATTGAGAATTAAGTGTTAGCAAAATGTTTTACCCAGCATTGCTTTTTGCAGGGACAAAAAGCCACCCAATATTAGCACTCCATATTTTTTTTTTAATTCAAAAAGAAAGATCCAACTATTTAACAGAGCACAGACCTGCATTATTAGAAATCCTTCACTATTAAATATTCTATTAATATTAATGTTCCATATTTCAGGTATTTAATATTCAGAGGCTAATTCTATTAAGGAATAAAACCTTATTATCTCACCTTAGTCTTATTCTCTTCTGCAAAACCTGGAGTGTCGGTGTCTGGAGGATACGCCACAGTTACATAGATATTATAGGGCTTCATCTAAGAAAGATCAGAGACTAAATTCAAATCAAAGTTTCAACGGACTGCCATGTGGTAGATTCTGAGCGAGCATAACTCATACACACACCTCCATCTGCAAGGCCTCAGCCAGACCACGCAGGGCGAATTTGGACGGTGAGTAGGCCGTGTAGCCAAAGAGGCCGATCTGCCCTGCCTGTGACGACACAAACATGATGCGTCCCATCCGCCTTTCCTTCATAGTGGTGACCACTGCCCGGGTGGGGTACACGCTGCCCAGATAGTTCACCTCCATCAGTTTCTGTTAAAAGAGAGCACACGATTCACCACAGGAACAGAAGTCTCACCATCATAATGCTAGAGAAACTGTTAGGGTAATTGGTAGGGCTGGGTAAAAAATATCGATATCTCGATATTAATCGATTGTCATTTTTACGGAACAATATCGATTCTTAAATCGATAAATCGATTATTCTAGCCTGTTTTCAGTTAATGGACGGAACATTGAAGGGCACTTCCCATCCAATATATCGCAATAAGCATTGTGCGTTGGTACTTTTAATATGAAACAAAGTCTCAGATTTCAAATTCTGTCCATTGTATTGCAGTATTTAAACAATAAATGCCTTTAACAAATCAGTCAATTTTAACCTTTAATATTATAGTAATGTAGTACCAACTGACAGCATTAGTTGAGAGATTTTTCTTTCCTTGAGAAAATTTGGCATGTACTGTACCTGATATATATCCAAAATAATCGATATCGAATCGGTAATCGAATCGAATCGCAAGCATGTGAATGAGAATCGAATCGAATCGTGAAATTTGTGTCAAAAGCCAGCCCTAGTAATTAGAGTCATTTCTAGGGCAGTGGTTCTCACTTTCCTGCAGAGTTTAGCTCCAATCTTGATCAAACTCACCAGCCTGTAACTTGTAATCTAGTAAAAAAAAAAACTAGTAATGGGCTGCGTTCAAAATTGCTCAATCATTCTATCAATTACTCGTTCACCATTTCTTATATAGTGTATGACAGTTGCATGCACTATATTAGCAAGGAGTGAACAAAACTTTGACGTTGATGTGTATATTGTGCATCGGGGCGCTGGAGCTATTGCAGAAACAGCTTCATCACTTACGTACTTTTATCATGCATGTATTTATTAAAAATAACAATTACAACAAACTTATTTTGTAATTATACATACCTCTATGCCAGCTTTGTGGTTGTGTCTATGGTTTATTAATACAATAAAAAAATTTTTTTTTAAATTCTTAATTTGTGTTCATAATCATTCAATGAATAATTAAATGCTGCCAACAAACATAAACAAATATTAGTGTACATCATTGTATGCATTTATTATTTTGAATGTCTCCCCCAAGCAGCGTTTTGCTCTCAGATAAAAGATGACAAGGATGCATAGCGCCTCAAGGCGACCGTTATGAACACATTAAAATTAATGTTACATACAGGTGATTAACAAATACTTTTAAACTATCCACCAAATGATCATTTCTTCCTTACAGTGTTGTTAGTTAACAATAATGCCACCTCGTAAATGATTTAGTAAAACACTTGGTTGTTAGTAAAACACATGCCGAGTTAATGCCTAAAAAAACGTTTTAAATTTGGCATATAATTTCAATTAATTAATCTATATAATATTGTCTTTCTATATGTTAATGTGTTTTAATCCAGTATTGATTCATAAAACCTTTTTAAAACTCAAACCAGTATGACATAAATGTTAAAATGTGTGCATTGCTTGTTTCCACTCTCTCTTCCAGCTCGTCAGTCTTATCAGCGGAGGAATTTTGGAAATAGTGCTTCAGAAATCAGAGTGCATTGTGGGTATAAACAAGCTAACAATTGCAGGGAATTAAGTTGTTCACTCAGATTTCAGACACAAAATGTCTGACACCCGATACAGTGCACTATACAGGGGATATGGAGCATGTTTGGACAAAACACTTGATTAGCTTGTTTAATTGGGTTTGATTAGGGTTAATTCAGGGGGTAAACTCTGCAGGACAGTGGTTCTTGAGGGCCAGAGGGTGTTGCAAGGTGGTTGCTTACTAGCATAATTCAAAACTGCCCACCTCCATGATATGTGTCTATGATATGCTGTTCTTACCTTGAAGCGGTCCACTTCCACTTCCTCAAACTTCCCAGATATGGACATCCCGGCACAATTCACCAGCATGTCCACAGGACCCAGCTTCTCTTGAGCCTGTGTAGCAAACACAACACACAGTCAGCAACCTCATCGCAAACCATCCGAAGAAAACATTAATAACAGTTAATGTTTCAAAACAATGACCAGAATAAATGCTGACATACGGTTCTTATAAAATGGTAAACAGAATAAACGTACTTGTTTTATGACACTCTCCACCTGGGTGTAGTCTTTCGACACATCAACAGAAATGCAAAGCACCACCTAGAGGTGATCATAACAATAATCAGACGTGGCATGATGAAGACTTTTGAGTTGATTTTGAGTACAACATTACAAAAATACAAAAAAAACATACTTTTAAAGATGTATAAATACACACACACACATATATATATATATATATCTCAAAGAAATACATACCTGCTTATCATTTATGGCACATTTCTCCACTTCTTTCTTGGCTTGAACCAGTTTGTGCTGTATAGAAACAAGTACGTCAACAAATATTTAATAACATCCAGTGACAGTAATAATTATTACGTAAACTGGTTTCTTACTAGCATAATCTGAAAATGCCCACCTGAGTGTCTATGATATGCTGCTCTTACCTTAAAGCGGTCGACTTCCACTTCCTCAAATTTCCCAGATATAGACGTCCCAGCACAATTCACCAGCATGTCCACAGGACCCAGCTTCTCTTGAGCCTGTGTAGCAAACACAACACACAGTCAGCAACCTCATCGCAAACCATCCGAAGAAAACATTAATAACAGTTAATGTTTCAAAACAATGACCAGAATAAATGCTGACATACGGTTCTTATAAAATGGTAAACAGAATAAACATACTTGTTTTATGACGCTCTCCACCTGGGTGTAGTCTTTCGACACATCAACAGAAATGCAAAGCACCACCTAGAGGTGATCATAACAATAATCAGACGTGGCATGATGAAGACTTTTGAGTTGATTTTGAGTACAACATTACAAAAATACAAAAAAAACATACTTTTAAAGATGTATAAATACACACACACACATATATATATATATATATATATATATCTCAAAGAAATACATACCTGCTTATCATTTATGGCACATTTCTCCACTTCTTTCTTGGCTTGAACCAGTTTGTGCTGTATAGAAACAAGTACGTCAACAAATATTTAATAACATCCAGTGACAGTAATAATTATTATGTAAACCATCGTTCAAAAGTTTGGAGTCAGTACTCTTTTTTTCCTAAAATAAGTTTATGCTTTTAGAGAGCAAGGATGCATTAAATTGATCAAAAGTGACATTTATAATGTTCCAAAACAAGATAAATGCTTTCTTTTCATCAAAAAAATCCTGAAAAAAAGTATCACATCTTCCACAGAAATATTAAGCAGTACAACTGCACAAATAATAAATGTTTCTTGAGTACCAACTTATATTAGAATGATTTCTGAAGGATCATGTGACACTGAAGACTGGAGTAATGATGCTGAAAATTCAGCTTTGATCACAGCAATAAATTACATTAGAAAATATATTACAATTCTTTTAAATAGTAATACAATAAATACAATTATTTTAAATTGAATGATTAGTTAACAATATTACTGTTTTTACAGTATTTTTATGTAAAAAAAAATGTAGCCTTGTTGAGCATAAAATATTTTTGACCTCAAACTTTTGAACTCTAGTGTATACAGTGACTGACAGATGATCTCCAGTGATGTGCGTATGACTGACCTCATCTCGTGCCACCAGAGTGATGAAGGCACCATGTTTGTAGCATTCCATGGCAATGCACTTCCCAATCCCACTGCTGCCTCCGGTCACCTGATGAAGGACAGGCGTTCACAACAGATTTATTACAAATAGGGATGTAACGATTAACCGC